CCGTCTAGGGGGCCTCTTGGGCCTCTCTTGGCTTTTTCTTGGGCCGTCTTGTGCGGTCTGGGCTCTGGACTTGGGTCGTCTTGTGGCGCTCCTGGGCCGTCTTGGGCCCTTCGGGGGCCGTCTTGGAGCCCTCTTGGGGGCCTGTTGGCGTGTCTCAGGGAGCTCTGGGGCCGTCTTGGACATTGTGAAGGCCCAAGAAACGAATATGCCGAAAATATCGGTTTCCCAAGGGAATGGGTCTATTTGTCAGTCTTTGGGCATTCTTGGGAAGTGTCGTGAGGAATCCTGGGGACGTCTTGGAGGTTTCTGGAACTGTCTTCGGGGCATCTTGGGCTGTTCGAGCGATGTTTCGGCGATTCGGGGCCCTCTTGCATTGTCTAGGGAGCCTCTGGGGCCTCTCTTGGCTTCCTCTTGGGCGGTCGGGGCTCCGGAAGTGGAGTTTTCTATATCCCCCTGTCCCCGGGTAGCGAAAAACGTCGGAAATGACGTCGGAAATATCGCCGTGTACCGACAAACGTCGGAAATGACGTCGGAAATAACGTGCCCCCCTCCCCCCCTCCAGAGCGAAGCTTGAGCGAGCTCAAGTCCACGCTCTCAGAAACTCACACGCCGGATCGGCGGATTACCGGTTCTGTCGATGTGTGTGTGTGTTATGTTATGTTCGGTTATGTAACAGAACATGTTATGTTTTGTTAATTTGTCTGTTCTGTCATGTTCTGCTCTGGTCTGGTCTGTGAGGTTCTGTTATGCTCTACTTTGCCATGACATTCATCTTTTAGGTTATTTTATGGTATGTTCCTTTCTGCCATGTTCTGTTCTGCCATGGTATGTTTTGTCGTGTTCGTCGAGGGCGCAAGGCGGGACACCCGGGACTCTCGGAGATCATCGGGACAACTTGGGGTCTGGCGGCCGCGGTAGCGCCGGGCGAGACACCCGGGACTCTCGGGTGCCATCGGGACACTTTGGGGTCTGGCGGCCGCCGTATGCAGGGTGGAGTTGGCCAGGGGGCCTGCTCTTGAAACCTAAACCTAACAAAGGAACATCGAGTGTGTGTACCCCATCGGGGCCTTCTTGGGGGTTCTCTTGGGGCTCTCTTGGGGCGTTTCAGGGGCGTCGCGGGCCACCCAGAGATTATCTTGAGCGCTCTCGGGCCGCTCCTGGGGGCGTTCTGGGGGGGCCCAGGAGGCCGCACCGAGGAGGAGCGCGGTGTAAGGTTGGGCCATGGGCTGGGGCGCCTGTCGACCAGAAGCCGTCCCATGGCAGCCCCGCGCGCCCGTCTTAGCCCGTCTTAGCGCGCTTCTGGCCCGTTGGGCTGGCGAATTCCTTCTCTGGATTGTTCCGGGGTCCGGGTATAGCCAGGACCCCGGGTAAGGGGACCCGGTTGGTGGTAGGGCCCTGGGGCCCCTCAATTGGCCAGATTCACTGAACCAGGTTTGCCGTAACTGGTGTTTTTCGGGTGACGGCAGTTCCGGTTTGTGGAAATGGGACGGGGGGGCGCTCCCGGTACAAATCACTAAACCAGGTTCCACTAAACCCAGTTCTGCCAACGCCCGATTTGTTCTAGATGTGCCCCGAACCTTTTTTTAGACTCTTGCAACATGTATCGCAGCACCCCGCAGAGGCGGGTAAGATTGAGGGAGCGGTGGGGACGTCGGCAGTCTGCGAGACTCTGGAGGAGCCCGCCGCAGGCGCCAAAGTTTGACAAATTATACAACGAGCCCGCCGCAGGCGCCGATTTTCTCGTTACACCAATGTGGGTGGGTCGCACATGAGTCGCGGGTGGGTCGCTGTTGGGTCGCGGGTGGGTCGCGTGTGGGTCGCGGGTGTATAGGGCAGAACATCCACCCCAGAATAATCACCCCGACTAGCGAAGCCATTTAGTAAACGCACAGAAGGAATGAATCGAACAGGGCAGGTCTGTTTAGTCAAAGCCCAGGGCCGTTTTAGCAAACGTCAGTTGTCGGGTCCGGGTGGTTTTTCCTCCCTTGAGGTTGGGTCGCGGGGTGGGTCGCGGGTGGGTCACGGGGTGAGTCGCGGGTGGGTCGCGGATGGGTCGCGGGTGGGTCGCGGGGTGGGTCGCGGGTGGGTCGTGGGTGGGTCGTGGGTGGGTCGGGGGTGGATCGCGGGGGGTGTGGCGGGTGGGTCGCGGGTTGGGTCACGGGGGGGTCGCGGGTGGGACGACGACAACAAACAACATCAACAACAATAACAACAACATCAACAACAATAACAACAACAACGCAGCAAACAGAATTATCACCACGAATTATGCATTCAGCCACGCACCCAGGGACACTGAATGACTGTTTGGCCCCCTCACTCTGACTTGCATGCATGGACGGGGGGGGGCCTGAACCTGAAGCAAGCCGCACATGACTGGACGTGCGGAAATCATACGCAAGTCGAAATGCACTTGCACGCTCGTATTCGATTGAAGAGGGGCGAGAGGGGTGGGGGCATGCAAGTTAACTTGCCGGACTCTACAAGACAAGGACCCCCCAGCTTGTGCGGCACCCCTTGGCCCCCCGCTCTCCCCAGCCCCGGCTGCGGCCAGCAGCTCGTTGTTGGCTTTGCCAGTGGCAAGGTTAGTCAGGGGCAACGTTGGTCAGGAGGGGATCGAAAACACACAGACACAGTGGATCGTCGATCCCCAGGAAAATAGTATGGGAAGATATGGGAAGTGTGGGGAAGACGAAAACCTAGAACACATGGGAATCGACGGGGAATCCTGGGAGAAGTGTCTATTTGTTCGTGTGTCCCTGGGCCCCTTTAGGGGAGTCTGATGCACCGCTCGAGCGGGACAGGTTGGTCAGGGGCAGCGTTGCGGGTGGATGCGGTAGGCTCAGGGAGGAACTCATCCACCCCAGGGCCCCGATCGCCCATTCATCGTGGACGGGGCCCGATGGCCCCAACCTGCCCACGAGCGTGTGGACTCCTTATCGGGGCCTTAGTCGCCGATCTATCGGCGATGCATCGCCGATTGTAAGGCGATACTGCCCCCCTCGAGCTGTGCCCCCCCCCCCCCCAAGGTTCCCCCTCGAAGGTTCGGCGGGGGCGCGCGGAGACATCCCGTCCTCCCACGCTCGTCGGGTGGACTCTCTTGCCGTGCGGCCGGCCTGAGGTATAAGGTCAAGGTCGGTTCGGGAGGGCTATATATAACCTAACGTTCTTCGTGCTTGCTGGATGTGCTAGTGCACCCTGGGGGAGGGCTGTGTTGGCCAGCGGACAACAAACAACAATAATCCGCATCGCGGAATTCCACTTCAGCCACGCACCCAGGGACAGTGAATGACCGTTCGGTTCAGCACCCTCACTCTGATATAACCTAACGTTCTTCGTGCTTGCTGGATGTACTTGTGCATCCTGGGGGAGGGCAAGTGCCCTCGAATGATCTTCCAGTTCGGGCTGTGTCGGCCGGCGGATGGTCTCCTGCTCTTGAAGGGTGTGCTCTTCTGCCCTGGGGTCCGGCCGTGGAGGGCTTCTCCGAAGGCCTTGAGCTATCAGGAGACCCGTCCTCCTCCTCATCCTGCCTCTTCCTCTTCCTCCTCCTCCTGCCTCCTCCTCCTCCTCCTCCATCTTCCTCCTCCCCCACCCCCTCTTCCTCCTCCTCCTTCTCCTCCTCCTCCTGCCTCCTCCTCCTCCTGCCTCCTCCTCCTGCCTCCTCCTCCTCGTCCTCCTGCCTCCTCCTCCTCCTCCTCCTCCTCCTCCTCCTCCTCCTCCTCCTCCTCCTCCTCCTCCTCCTCCCCCTCTTCCTCCTCCTCCTCCTCCTCCTCCTCCTCCTTCTCCTCCTCGGGCCGCCTACGGCCCCAGGGGAAACCGTGCATCCAACTGCGACAACTGCCGCATGCAGCTGGTTCCGGCCCCGCCGCCCAGGCGTTCTCGTCGAACACAGGGGCCGCCTCTGGCGCTGGGAGGGCGCTGGGAACTCCGGCTAGCTCCGTGATCCGATTCGCTATACGCATCCCCACTCCTGTTCCTCTCTCTTCGTCCGGCTGGGCCCTGCTCCTTCCCGTTCCGTTGTTCCATGGCGCCAACATCGCAGAGCGGATTCCTTTCGGAAAACAATGGGCTGGGCCCCGAGTGTACTGGAGCATTTCGTTTCGAATTTCGAGGTGAATTTCGTGCGGATTTTGTTCGACCAGGAATAAAGACCAACAACAAATCCATTTAACATTCACTTCGTTTTTCGCTCGCCGTGTCGGGGTTTTGCGTGGACAGAAATCCATGCAAATATCCGCTGGAACACGTCTGCAAGGTCGGTTCAATGATATACGGCATCCCCGCTCCTGTCCCCCTCTCTTCGTCCGGCTGAGCCATGCTCCTTTCCTAGGGGGACGAACAATGACAAAAACAAAAACTCAGAGGTCCGCGCGGATTTCTCGGATCCGCGCTGGGGCCCCCTGGCGGCGCCTCCGGCGCCGTCCCTGGCGCGGTCCGCGCGCCTCGGAGGGGGGTCCAGCGCGGATCCTAGAAATCCGAACGGACCTGCGAGTTGTTATGTTTATGTCATTCTTCGTTCTCCCAATCCCGTTCCCTTGTTCCTTCTCTTTTTGGGTGCGGCCGGAAGAGAGAGAGAGAGAGAGAGAGAGAGGGTGACGAAGACCCGCAGACTCGACAGCAGTTCCTGCCCATCTCGAACAGGACTTGCTGTCGGTTTCGCCGCGGACGTCAGTTGCCAATCTGGGACAACTGGTCGCCTGCCCAACAGTGTCTGCTGTTGGTTTGGGGCGTTTGCTGTTGGGCATCTGACCCGTTGTTTCCGTACCCAGTTCGGGCGCTTCAAACCTTCTTCCATTCTTCTCTTCCTCTACAGTAGGTTCATGCGGCGTTGGCGCGCTGGCGACGCCAGCGAAGGCATTAAAGGTTGAGTTCTGCGACGCGGAAACATTGAGGGACGCGGTGACGCCACTGGACCCGACGGACTTCATCCTTGAACGATCGGGGCCGCGATCGATTCAATGTTGAACGATCGACGCGGTGTCAAAAGCCTTTGCACGCGCCGACGCCGCGTGAACCCAACGTACTGTACTCTGCCCTCAGCCGTAGCAGTGTCTGCCGGCGACCTCCATGGCAGCCCGGGCACCGCCGAAACGTCGGGCGCCCTGGCCCGCCGCGGCGTCCGCTGCACGTTTCTGTCTATCCTGTTTGGACGCAGTCCTCCTCCGTCTCCTCCTCACCTCCCTGGTCCCTCGACGTTCCCCACATCCCCAGTAGCCCGTTCTGAACTGTCCAGGCGAGCAGTCCAGAAAAGGGAAGTGGATGAGCACATTTTTTACAAGCGCAAAGGATCCCTGTGCCGGGTATAACCAGGACCCCAGGTAAGGGGACCCGGTTAGTGGTTGGGCCCCAGAGCCCTTGAATTGGCCAGAATCACTCGACCAGGTCTGCCGCAGCTGGTGTTTCTTCGGGTGACGGCAGTTCCGGTCAGTGTAGTTCGGGCGGGGGGGAGGGCGTCCCCCAGTACACAGCGCTAAACCAGGCCCCACTATTAAACCCAGTTCTGCCAACGCCCGAGATCGTGACCCCAGGACGACATCGGCGGCAAGCCAAGGAATGCCAAAGAGTCTCCTGGAGGCCCAGGTAGGACCGCAAAATCCTATATCCTCGAGCGCCGTGGGCAAAAGCCAGCATGAATGGGGGGAGGAGGAGGAGGAGGAGGAGGAGGAGGAGGAGGAGGAGGAGGAGGAGGAGGAGGAGGAGGAGGAGGCAGGAGGAGGAGGAGGAGGAGGAGGAGGAGGAGGAGGAGGAGGAGGGGAGGAGAAGCGGCAGCAGCTCCGCCGGGCGGCCCGGCCAGCCGCCGCGAGCCGCCGGCGGCTCGCGGCGGCGCGCCCGTCCGCCTCGGGAGCGCAAAGGGAAAGAGTGGAACTGCAGGGCTGACAGCGCTCGAGCCAGAGACTTCCAGGAGCCTGGACTGGGGGCCCAAAGAATAGACACCACCACCACCACCACGTCGACTCCTCCCCGCTTCGGGGGCGCGGGGATCTGCGGGGCTGCCCACCGCGCGAGGGTTTGGTTATCGACCGGCCCCCTCCTGCTCCTCCTGCTCCTCCTGCTCCTCCTGCTCCTCCTCCTCCTCCTCCTCCTCCTCCTCCTCCTCCTCCTCCTCCTCCTCCTGCCTCCTCCTCCTCCTCCTCCGCCTCCTCCTCCTCCTCCTGCCTCCTCCTCCTCCTCCTCCTCCTCCTCCTCCTGCCTCCTCCTCACCCCCTCCGGGATTACCCCGGGCGATCGCCGCTTCAAGCAAACACGGCCTGCAGGATCCAGGACTACAGGAGAGTGGCCCGGGCAAGGGGCCCCCCGAGCTGCCACCGCGGGCCCACCGGGTGCACGAGAGGTGCCGCCGCGAGGTCCGACGAGCACCATGGGGCCCTAGGTTTACGTCGGGCCTGTCCCCCTGCAGGGGGAGTTTCGACGAAAAATAAAACATACCCCCCAGAATAGTCCGGAAATAGTCCGGGGACTATTTTTGAGTATGTTCTCGCTATGTTTTAGCATTTTGGGGGTATTTCTTATTCTTCGTCGAAAATCCCCCCTGTAGGGGGACACGCCCGACGTAACCCTAGGTGTTCGCACCTCCTTGGCCTGACTTGGTCCCTCGTTTTATGATTTTCCAACCTGCTTCAGCAGGGGGCTCCTTGCGATTCCGCCGGTTCGATCCGACTCGATTTCGATGGCTTCCGATTCTTGTTCGATTCGGCTTTGAGTTCCGATTTGGGCTCCGATTCCTTACTGGAGGCCTACCAGCTTGCTGATGTACGCCGATTCGACTTTTCCCGACTCGGCTGCCGATTTTCGCCGATCCGATTAATTTCGATCGCCGATCCGACTTATCGATTCGTTTCTGGGCTCTCCTGCTTCAGCCTTGGCCACCAGAAAGAATGTCGAGCACCAAGAACATGCCGAAACTTGAGGGCTGTCACGTGTCGGGCCCTGGGGGGCGACACTCGTTCGACACTGTTTCGGTACTTTTCTCGGTGCTCGAAGCCAGTTCTGGGACTTGGTCCTTAGGCGCGATGGGAGCAGCATGACCCTCGTTCAGGCCCTGGTGGGAGCGCCGATAATAACAAAAAAAACGAGCACACGATTAGAGACCCGTGGGAGCCTGGAGCCCTCCCTCTCCGACCCGCGCTCCGAGGGCTAGGTCGAACACATCCTCCCACAAGCGGATGTTGGACGAATGATAAAACGTATACCGTAATATCCCAAAGTCATCAAGCACAGTACCGTTCCGCGAGTTCCCGCGCTCGACCGCCTCGTAAGATGTACTCGCAGAACACGTACCTGTCAGGGGCAACGATACGGGGGCGATAGGCATAGGGGGGGATGCATCGACCCCCAATCGCCCATTGATCGCCGATAGGGGCCCGATAGCCCCAGGCCGCCCAGGAAGAGACGGATTGACTATCGGGGGCCTACCGCATTTGTCGGCGAGGTATCGCCGATTCCAGGTCGATGCATCCCCCCCCCTATGCCAGTCCCTCCCTATCGTTGCCCCTCAACCTGCCAGGGCCGCCAGGCGATCCGATGCGAGGCGACTCGATTCGCTGGCTGGGCGCGCGATTCCGCTGCGGTTCGATCCGGCCCAGCTCGCCGGCATCGGGCCGGGGCCAGCGGGGAGCCGGGCGCCACGAGATTCGCTTACGGTTTGGTTTTTGGGCGGTTCTCTTCCTTCTCTTCCTCCTCCTCCGCCTCCTCCTCCTCCTCCTCCTCCTTGTCTCTTCTCCTCCTCCTCCTTCTCCTCCTCCTCCTCCTCCTCTCCTCCTCCTCCTCCTCATCTTTCTATCGCGGAGCGAGAGTGGCAGATGTAAGCATGCGTTGTCAGAGCTCCGCACGGATTTCGTGGATCGGCGCTGGACCCCTGATTGGTCGGGGGTGGACAGAAACCCCACCCTGACACGTCGATTAGTGAATTGTCCGTTTTCGGTTCTCGAGAGAGTGCCGCGGCCGTCATTTTCCGGGCTTGCGCCCGCCAGATTCGGGTCCGAGGTCGTTTTCACTGAACCCCGTTCTGCTAGAGGGGCTTCTGTCTATCCCCGAGGTTCGTTGGCGATCTGATCCGTTCCCGATCCGGTCCAGTTTCGCGGTTCGGTTTGGCTCGGGCTTGCCTGCACGGCGGCGTTACTCGAAATCCCTTAATAGTCGTCCCCCGGGTCCGATTTTTAAAGGCGCCTTTTTTGGAAGCGGGGGGGTCTGGTTTATTCGGGTGCCTTCCTTGAACAGTAGACGAGAGGGGTCCGGAACATGAACGCCCCCCATTGACAGGGGGGTCCGGAAAATCAGGTTGCCGTCAAATGCGGGGTCCGGTTTTTAGGGGGGGGTCGATTATCATTAGGATGCTCCAACCAATTTTAGCTTTGATCACCAGAACAAATTTCGAGCGTCAACGCCGAAACTCAAGGGATTTCACTTGTCGGGCCCTGGGAGGCGATACTCCTGCGACACTGTTTCGATATTTTTTCTGGGTGCTCGACATGTTTTCTGGGACTTGGTCCGTAAGTACGATGGGGGCAACATAAGCTAAGGCTTGTTCTGGGGATCACCGAGATCAGTGCGAGGCATTGTGATTTGAGTCAGGGGCGGCATTGGGCCAGGTATTGCTCGAGAGTTGGTGCTCATGCTGGCCTCCAGGGCCTCTAGATGGGCTCACTCAAGAGCACCGCAGTGTGCTCCTGAGCCTGGCATTGCTCGGGCGTGTGCATGTTTTTCGCGGCGAAGGTCTTCGAGGAGAATCGAGGGTGTCATCTTGCAAAAAAGATATGCGCGAAGCCGAAAACGATGCAACACAAGATCACTATAAGGGATTTCGAGCAACTCCCCGAGCGGCGCCGTCCCCGAGCGGCGAGCTGGTTCACTTGGCACGTACATCGCTTGACGCACATCGCCTTCGCTGACGACCAGACGTTAGTGGCAAGAAGCTGGGTCTCTGTGAAGAGAATGATATTGATGCTGAAGTCGGCCTTGCAAGCAAGGGGCTTGTCTTTGCACCCCACGAAGTGCAAGGTGCAAACAAACAAGATCAGTTTCGCACGGCGAGGGCACATATCCATTGCTGAAAGTTGTTCTATAGAAGTGCTGCCGCCGGGAGACAACACGGAGCTGCTAGGCACGACGCTGTCACTAGTGGACCCAACGGGGGAGGAGATCGCCAATCGCATTGCTGTGGGTTGGCGGAAATTTTGGGCAATGACGAATTTGTTATTGAACATATGTTTTTCAGTCCGGAAGCGCTTGCGCCTATTCGACACCACCCTCGCCGAGTGTATTCTATGGTCTTCAGAATCATGGACTCCACGGGCAGGAGAACTCAGAAGGCTACGGGTAACACAACACACGATGCTGCGTCGAATCGTGGGTTGCGGGAGGGCCGAAGAGGAAACCTGGGTCGAGTGGACCCAAAGGGCGACATGCAAAGCTCGGCGTCTTGCACGCGATTGCGCTGTGAAAGAATGGGTCCCAGAACACTTCAGAAGAAAATGGCGTTGGGCGGGGGAAACAGCAAATAAAGATCCGAACGCCTGGGTATGGAAGGTGACGGAGTGGCGAGACGCAGCGTGGCAAACAGCTGCAAACGAGCTCGGCGCCGCTCGTATTATGCGACCGTCCTCCCGCAAGTGGATGCGTTTCGAGGAAGTCATGCGGCGTTTTTACACCGAGAGGGCCCTTGGCGAATGGAGGCGCCTGGCTCGCAATTCCGCGAGTTGGCGGGCACTGTCTACTGCTTTCGTCGAGTGGGCAGCTGAGGCGAAGTTCGACGAGTGAGGGTCTCACCCCGTGTCCTGCCCCTCGCGGGCCATTCTGATAGGACTTGAACCTTGAACCTTGAACTTGGCACGCCCTCTTGCCCCCCTTGATGGGAGGAGGCCGGCTGACCGGATCGCGGCAAAACTCGCCGAGCGCGTTCAATTACCTGCAAAGTGCTTGTTGGCAATCTTCCCCAAAACACATGCCTGAATTGATGTGTTTTATCGTAGATACCCTGTGGCGGATCCAGGCCATTTGCGAGTAGTCACCTCGCGAGTAGCGGAACGCGCCTGTCCAAACACACGGGCGGCGCGGGCGGCTTCGCCGCCGAGACCCGTTCTTTTTTTTGTTGTTTCTCTCTCTCTCTCTCTCCCTCTCTTGGGGGGCCGACGGGGGCGCCTCTTCGGGGCGGGGGGCCTGGGCTCGTTTCGCCTCCTCCGATTCGGTTCGATGCGATTTGCATGGCTTCCGATTCCGATGCGTTCGGCTTCGGATTCCGATGGGGGCTCCGATTTCTCAGTGGGGGCCGACTGGGTTGCCGTTTTCCGCCGATTCTACTTCTCCCGACTCGGCCGCCGATTTCCGCCGATCCGACTCATGCCGATCGCCGATCCGACTTGTCGATTCGATTATGTGTTCTCCTGGGGGGGGCTTGGCATGCTCGCGTGGTGGCAACATCATCGAGAACAAAAGGACCCCTACCCACCGGTCATTGAAAGCAGGTATTCTTGGACTTTCAGGTTCCAATCTGCTTGAGGCGCCTTCCTTCTTACTTCAATTGTCGAGTGGCTTCACCATGGCCGTCCTCTTCAGGGGGCGGGCGGACACCCAATCTACATTAAACGCCTTCCTGCTTCATGTTTCGACCTCGTTCTTCCGACCGATGGGTAACCTCAAGCCGGGCATGTCCTTCTACCGGAGAAAGCTATTCATACGTAGTCAAGAAAAGTCTGGGGGTGGTTTGTCTACTACGCATGAGTATGTGCGATCATGGTTTGACTATTTTGTTTATTTGTTTTTTAAAGTCCGCCTGTAGGAGGACACGCCCGATCTAACTCTGGGGTGGGGGTTGGCCATGCTCGCGTGGTGACCAAAGCATCTAGAGTAAAAGTCCCCTAACCCTATAGTAGCACAGGGAACACGTGGCCTCGCTGAGGTCCCCGTCTTTTGTATCAGGCATAGTCGATCCGGGCGGTCTGTTTCGCCACATAGGAAGAAAATAATAGCCCCTATCCCTACTTAAGGTTTAGGGCCCTCATAGCTTAGGTCCTAAAGGGTTGATGCTCGCCTGGTCCTAACTTGGCCCTACTGAATGTTTTTGGCCCTCCTTGGGACCTTTCTTGGTTCATCACAACATGGCCCAGACATGCCCGTCCCGTGGACGAAAATCACGACGGGAGGTTCTGGAGCCATTTCGGCCTCTGGTGGCCATCGCAGGGCCCCGCAGCCCCCGAGCCGATCCGATGCCAGCACTTCGACGCTCCCACAGGCCCGATGCCTGCAGGGGCGCTGTTGTGCGTCCTGGCGTGGCCGATCCGCCCCGATCTCGGCTCCGTGCCGATGCCGCCTGGCCCGACGCGCGTGCCGATGCGATGGGGATCTCCCGCTGCGAGGCCGGCTGGCTGATGCTGCCTCGCCGCTCCCCTGGCCCTCCTCGCCCGGCGGTGCCCTCGGAGGGCACGGCCCCTGCCCCGCCGCCCCCCCTCGGCACGGGCCCCCCCGGGCGCGCCCTGTGCGCCGCGGCATCGGACTGCCTGCAGCGCCGCGAAAGGGAGCCCCCGCAGCGCAGAGCCCCCCGCGGGTGCCCCCGCGGCGCGCGGGCGGGCTCCGCCGTGCCGTCCGCCCTGCGTGCCTCCTCGACGCCCCGCCCCCCCCGCCGCCCACCTCATCTCCGGCTCCGCCAGCCGCCACGCCCCTGCCTCTCCGATGCGGCCCTGGCCGCTGCCCCCCCCGCCTAGCCGCTCCCCCCCCACCCCCCACCTCGTCGAGTCGACGACCCCTCTCTCCTCGGCCCGCCCGGCCCCCTCCTCCCCCGGCCCGCTCCACCTCGGCCTCGGCTCTCGAGTTTTTCCTGTCCTGGCCCCAGACATCCGGCTGCGTGGGCCCCGGAGGTCCGGACCTCTTCCCCGGTAAGGCTTCTTCGTCCTGGATCATGTTTTGACGCTGTTGCGAGGCCCGCCTTGGGGCATCTGGGAACATCATGCGGGATCGGATAGGAGTCATCAGCGCATATTGAAACGACGTTGGCGTTATCCGAGTGACCTTCTACCCATCCCGCCACCGTGCCTGGGTTGTGGGTCTGAGGCCTTTTGTATATGTGTTGGGGTGTCGTGTGGAGCCTCTCGGGGGCCTCTTGGAGGCGGTTTGGACGCCTTTGGGGGGCCTCTCAGGGCCTCGTGGGGTATCTTTTGGCTTCGTGGAGGTCTCTTGGGCGCGTCTTGGGCGCTTCTTGGAGCCTCTTGGGGCCTCTTGACGGCCTCTTGGGGCCTCCTGGGGGCTACTCGGTGCATTGGGGGCGCGAATGTGGTTCCATTTACGCGGGAATGGCCTCGGGAGCGCGAATGTGGTGCAAATTACAGGGGGATCGTGGCCTCGGGGGCGAGAATGTGGCGTAACTTACGAGGGATCGTAGCCTCGGGGGCGCGACTAAACCACAACCATAACCACAACCACAACCACAATGATAAACACAACAACCAACACACAAACAACAACAAACAACAAACAACAACAGCAATACCACCACCAACAACAACGACAACAACAACAATAATCCGCATCGCGTAACCCCATTTCAGCCACGCACCCATGGACAGTGATTGATAGTTCGGCCCCCTCACTCTGACTTCTCTCCTCCTACCCCAGAAGCTGATGAAACAAGTAGCCCGCACCTTTCCGCGTATTGTTTTTCACACACACACAGAGTTCAATTATTTGCTATTTCCAATGCGTTTGTGTTCCAAACCGACGCTTTCACTCCCTCTCCGCGTATGGCGTTGGTTACACGCATGCTCTGAACTTGTGCGTTTTCTAATCTGGATGTTGTCGGTCCTTCCAGACAGGCGATCTCGTTTCATCTTTGCCTTCACTTCCGCACTTCCGTCACACCCGCATATCTGCCCAAGCGAACGCCCCCAGCGTGCAATGTGATGGGCGCCCGGTCTGCTGGTAGCACTGGTATTCGCCAGTGCGAGTGCCATTTCGGCAGGCTCGGCACCGCAGTGCACAATCAGCACCTCCACGAGGGCAAACACCAGGCCCTACATCGATTACAAGCTCAAGCTCAAAGGATCTAAATCCCCACTCTCTCTCTCTCTCTCTCTCTTTTGACACCTCCCCTCGTTCGCTAGCGCTAGCATTCGGTCCCTTTCAGTGCAGATGCAGCGTTCGCAGTACTGGTAGAGGCCCCGTTTGTTGCCCAGCGATGACGCCTTTGAAGTGCGCCTTCTCCGAGGATGTTTACCCAAGCATGGGATCTTGCCCCGATGTTTCCTCCTCCGATTTCTATCTTTACCTAAGATTTGGACTCCCTGCGCACATGGCCTGGCAGTCTAGGAGAGCTGAAGCCTCGGGCAGCTCTTTGGTTTTAGCCTTAAGTCGGGGCATGTCCCTCTACAGAAGAAATATTCAAAGCTGGCCAAACATAATATGGCGATGATGTTTGTACCATTTTGGTGTTTGGGGATATTGTTTGGCTATCTTACATTTGTTTTCCAACATCTGCCTGTTAGAGGACATGCCCGACCTAATTTTAGCCTTGTGCCTCGGCGAAGGCCACCGTTGCCTCTGCCGCTCAGGCCAGGTCACGCCGAAGCTTACGAAGCCCAGCAGGCCCACGGCCTTCTCTGTCGGCCCCTCCTACTGCACGTTCGGACCTAGGTATGAGATCGAGGTCGGTTCGGGGAGGGTCCCCAGTGTTCTTCGTGTTTGTTTGATGTTCTCGTACATCCTGGGGAGGGTATCCTTGGGTGTTCTGTGTGTGTTTTGGCCGACGGAGGGTCTCATGTCCTTGAAGGGCGTTCTTCGTGCCTAGGGCCGACTGTGGGTTCGCGTCGTGTCGACCAGAGGCGACCCCGCCGCTGGCGTTCAACGTTGCGTTGGACGCCGCTGGCAGCCCAGAATCAGTCGATGTTGCACAATCTGACGTTAACAATTTGACGTTTCTGAAGCGGCCGATCGTTCAAGGTTGAGAGATCCCCGCGGTGTCAGGAACCAACGCCGGGTTCGACTCGACACCAACCCGCGGTACTCTATCATTGCCCTGCCTGTTGAGAAGGCGCCACAGCGGCCCTCATCGCAAGATGTAAAGCGTCACTGTTGTAGCCGTGCAGCCTTGTTAGAGAGTCTAATTGCCTTTCTAGATTCCAGGTTGGTATGGCCGCCAGGGCCCAGTGCTCCTGGTCTGCTCCCCTCCTTTTTCGAGGTCGCCTTCTTCTCCCGCTTCCCTCCTCGCAGACCAGGCACATACAGTGTAGACCCATGCCAAGGAACACCCTGCTTGCCTCCAGGGTGCCCTGGGTTTCTTCGGTTTCGATGGTTTTGCTGTGGAGGGCGTGACGTTCCCACACCAAAAATCAATGGACGTCCTGGGGTCTCATGGTTGGGTTTCTTGTGAAAGGTTTCTTGTGGTCGAGCCCCTACTGTACGCCACGCCCGTCTCCACTTGTCCCACGGTGCTGCGAGCTTCTCGCCCCTGGGTGCTGTTTCAAAGTGCAGCTGTACATCGCTTGCGAACCCACCCCGATCCTTCTGAAAGCATGCGATTACCAAGCCCGAGGTGATCGTTTTCTCATTCATTGTTTTGCCGATCGGCGCGGGCCCTCACATCCCCCCCTCGTGAAGAGGATCTTGGCTGTTTTTGGCGCCTGGTTCAAGCAGGTGGAGTCTCTCTCTCACCCGTAGGACGCACTGTTGCACACAATCGCATGTAAGCAGAGGTCCAGAGCCAGACCCCCCCCCCCCTCCCCCCCGCCCCCCTTCCGCCCAATATCGAAATGCCGAACCCAGACCCCAGACGTTATCAGGATTTGTTCACGACGTCGACCCCCAGACGTCTCGACCCATTCCCCAGGACATGTTTTTCATTCCTACCCAACCTTCTCCTCCTCCCCCTCCTGCTCCTCCTCCTCCTCCCCTGGACATTGTTTTTAATCCTGACTCGGTTTGTTCACGATCCCGAGGCCCGACAAAGGCCGCAAGAGGCCCAACGTAGCGCAAAGTCGCCCGCCACGATTTCTTCACGACGCGAGGGGGTCTGGGTAGAAGAAGACGCTCGCTAGCTTGGCTTTATGGACAGCGATCCATGGAGAGGAAGCATGTTGCCAAATACTTCCCAGATGTCTAAAACATGTTCTAAACATGTCGGTTAATAAGTTCCGATATGTTAAGCACTGTTGCAATTCAACGATAGGACTGTTGGGGTGTTCACTGTCACGGCATCCACAACGCTAGCTGCTGCTTGGCAGCCTCCGCCTCCTCCTCCTCCCCGTCCTCCTCCCCCCTCCTCCCTCCTCCTCCTCCTCCTCCTCCTCCTCCTCCTCCTCCTCCTCCTCCTCCTCCTCTCCTCCCTCCTCCCCTCCCTCTCCCCCTCGTCCTTCCCTCTGGAAGACAACGCCCCGCGAGCTGCTGCCTGGCAGCCTCCTCCCTCTCCTCCTCCCCCCCCTCCCCTCCCCCTCCCCCCCCTCCTTCCCTTTGGGAAAGCACGCCCGCGAGCTGCTGCCTGGGCAGCCTCTCCCCCCCCCCTCGCGCCCGCAGCGGCGCACCCGCGGCGCGCAGGGGGGGGCGGGGACGACGGGGCGGCCGCGGCCCGCCCCCCCCGCGCGGCCGAGCTGCCGCCCCCCGCGCGGCCCGGCGGCGGAGCACAGGAGCCCGCCGCCGCCCCGCGGGCAGCTGCCGCGAGCCTGCCTTCTGTCGGGCCTGTCCCCCTACGTACAGGGGGATTTTCGACGAGGAATATAACATACCCCCAACATACTCCCAACATGTCAAGACATATTCGAAAAATCATCCACTTGGACCTTGGCATCGCTCGGACGTGTGCACTTTTTTCTTGGCCAGGGCCATCGAGGAGCATCCTCGATCATGTGGCGAGGAAAACCACGCACGAAACCGAAAAAAACACAGGAAATGGACGTCCGAGCGATGGCCAGGGACGGGGTCCGAGTAGATGGGTTCGGAGGATCACTCGATGTTCCCCCCCCCCGCCTTGAGCAAACATTTCCCCTCAGAGAACGGAGGAGGAGGAGGAGGAGGAGGAGGAGAAGGAGGAGAAGTAGGAGGAGGAGGAGGAGAAATACGATCAAGGATGTACAGTAGCTCCTCGGCGGACGACAACGACGACGCCACATCGGTGTCGGTGCCTGTGGACAACGGCTCCGATGCATCGACGATGCGGCTCGATACGGATCCCGAGTTTCTCTAGGCTGGCATCGCCGATGCATCGCCGACGTCGCTGATGCATCGCTGGTGCATCGCCGATGCATCGCCGATGCATCGCCGATGTATAGCCGATGCGGCGCGATCCTCCGACCCTACGTATCTACTCCGACCCCATCTAGGAGGCCTCTAGTAGGGGAAGAGAAGAGCGCCACACAGTTAACCCGCTCAGTGAGGATGGGCAACCTTCCCAAGTGTACCCCTGCACCCTTGGCCACTTTCGTGGCCGGCCTTCCAAGGCCATGGCATCCTTGTCGTGCGTTCTTGCGATACGGGTCGACTGTAAACATTAAGCTTTTGGCGCTCCGCGCGTATTTCTTGTATTCGCGCTGCCCCCCCCCCCCCCAGCGGCGCCTCCAGCGCCGCCCCTGGCGCGCTCCGCGCGCCAGGGAGGGGGGCCCAGCGCAGATCCAAGACCTCCGCGCGGAGCGCCCCAAGTTTATGTTTATGGCATTTCTTCTACCCAGACCCCCTTGCGACATGAAAAGCACATGGCGGGCGGTTTTGCGCCATGGTCGGCCTCCGCTGGCCCTTGCCGGGCCTATAGGGACCGTCGAAGAGCGGATCAGGAGGAACAACAAAGCGGTCCCCGGGAGGAGCAGGAGGAGGAGGAGGAAGAGGAGGAGGTTGGGGAGCGGGAGGAGAAGGAGGAGGAGGATGAAAAGGATGAAAAGGATGAAAAGGAGGAGGAGTAGAAGAAGGAGGAGGTCTTGTTTCAACACATCGGGTTTAATGCTCTGAGAACATGGCCCTTGCTCTCAGAGCTGGGGTCTAGGAACACTTCGTGGTAGGCCTATAGACATGCCAGGACGGCCGGTCCCTGCTCAGGGGTCGAGAGTCGTGAAGCCGGGGGGGTGCGTCCGGCCTCCCGGCGCCCCAGGAGGCGTCCACTTCCCGAGGCTTCCGCGGAGAGCTGCAGGTTCGGGTGCAGCTCCTGGGAGGTCACGTGCTGATTCGGCCCTGGTAGATCCGGTGCTGATGCGGCTTGATCACGTGTAGTCTGGCTGACAGTCCCGCTAGATCCGCGGCCTCCAACCTTTTTTAGCTCGGACCATCAGAATAGATTTCGAGCAGCAAGGAAGTACCGACGCGTGAGGGTTTTCACGTGTCGGGCCCCGGGAGGCGGTACTCCTTCGACTCTTTCTCGATACCTTTTGGGTGCTCGAATTTATTTCTGGGGTTTGGTCCTTAAGTACGATGGGAGCAATAGAACAACAGGGCGTACTCTTCCTTGATCCTTCCGGCGAAGACAGGGCTCATTTCGATTCCTCCGATTTGATTCGATTCGATTTCGATGGATTCCGATACCGATTCGGTTCCACTTCGG